GAGTCAGAACACCTGGGGAGGACGAAGGGTTTCTTCAGTGATCTGTTGCTGATGGCCTAGGAATTTCATGGAGCCAAACACTGGACAAAAACAAGACTGCTGGTCAGTTGCTACATTCATTCTGTGCAAGGGAATGTGCATGCCTTATTTTATTCCTTCTTTAAAAGCAACCCTGCAAGGTAAAGGGTTCTCATCTTCCAGGTGAAGAGCTGGAAGTTTAGGGAGGGAGAGCCAATTGCTGAAGGCCTCACAAAGGCCTTGGTGTGGCCATTGCTGAGATGTGATTCTTGGAGCCCCTTCCGTATCCACGTCATTGAGGTCTTTCCTACCTGCTCAGCTTAGCACTGTTGTCTGCTGGACCCTAGACTTTGCTTGCTCCAGAGAGGCTGGCATTACAAGGAAAGCAGCTGGCATTTGTTGTAACTGCAAGTTACAAATGCAATGTAAGTCTGGAGTAAATTGCAGTCCCAACTTTAAAAAAGATATACTAATCAGAGTTTGAGTCACAGATGCTCAATTGTTCTGCTATTCACTATACTTTCCACCTCCCACATATTCCTTCTTACCCAAATTGCTCATGGATTCCAAATTGGATTCCTGAGTTCAGGGCTGGCCCCTATCAATAAATCCTGGGGAAAATCTTCATGTGTGATTCAATACATATAAACAAAGTCTTTTTTGGTGTTAAGAGGCTTCTTTGTTGGGGAGTTTTACTATCTTGTTATTGTAAGAATGTTCCAGAGGGAATACGCTACATCTTGGTGAAATCTTATCAGTTCTATCATACATTCAGAAATGTTTGAGTATCTGCTATGTGTCAGACCCTGTTCCAGGTACCAGGAGTAGAGGGGTGAACCCCATTGACAAAGACTACACCCAGGCAGAATAGGCTTTCCAATGGAAGAGATTCCTGATAAACAAGTAAACAAAATCATATGAATTGAGATTCACGCAAGTCTCCATTCTTTCACTCTTCACACTTGGCTGTCTCCCACTTAATCTCTTTGAGATGACATCATCTTCACGGTTTTTTCTATTGGGCATCTACCACTCCTGGGCCTTCAGGTGTCCATGCCTGTGTTGTCACCAAGGCTGGAATGGCCTCTTTTACCTCTACCAGACTCCTTTTCATCCTTCTGCCTTGATCTCAGTTTCTGCTTCCTCTGCTCTGTGCTCATAACTGAACACCCACACATTACAGTGTCCCACTTTCATGGACATGTCTGTCACCCCTCCTACACTCAAACTTCTGTGTGAGTATCTGTGTCGGACATAACCTTTGTTATCTCCAAGCCCTAGCATGGAGCCTTCTGAGTGGAGGCTCCGGGTTTGTACCCAGAACAGATGTTAAATCCCACTGCACCTGGTGGTGGGTGCTGGTATTGCAGGAATTGCTCCAAGGGATGCTGAGTCTGGGAACAGATGCAGTTCTGTGGTTCTTTGGGTTCAGCATGAGCACTATCATGCATAGACGAGATGGGCTAGGATATAGGCAGAGATGACAGAAGAAAAGTGGTGGGGAACATTCCAGTGAGTCTTTGAAGGGAAGTTAGAAATTTGAAATTCTGAGGTTCTAGGTCAGACCTGGAAGAAATCATTTTATAGCTATTGTCCATTTGGGGTCCAGAGAAGCTGTGGCTTAACCTGATTCCAACAGCTAGTTAGTTTCAGAACCAGACCTCCCAGTTCAGGAAGATTTCCACTACGCTGGGACTGTGATTTGTGACAGATAAGGAAAGAGGTTCAGAGAGATGAAGCAACTTGTGCCAGATCACACTGCTAGTAAGTGGTGGAGCCTGGATTCAGACATAGATCTATCTGATGAGAGAAGCCAGGCTTGTATCTACTAAGATACCTTTCCTCTTCTTGGAGACTGTGAAATGCATGATCTTAACACATTTTCTGTTTCCCTCTTTTGTTCATTTTATGCCATGTAGGAAAGAATATTATGAACGTGTTTTCTTTCTATTGCAATGTAGTTGTATGTTTTCAGAAAAACATTCACATTCTTCAAATATTAGAATAAGTATATATAAATAACATAAAGAAGGTTTTGTTTTTCTCTGCCACTAAATTAAAAATACTCCTATTTCATCTTATTGTACTTTATTTAAAGATAAACATTTTATAATATATTGTCATGAGTGAAAATCTAGTCCTTTAATTTCATGAACCCCAGCTTAATAGTCAATGAATTTAATTAGAACATCCTTACCTAGGCAGATTTCACATCCAGTTCTCTCTAACATCTATTGACATACAGACTAGAAAGTTGTATCACTATTTTAGAAATGATTCTTTCTAGACAGAAGAGAGAAATAACTTGTCTGAGTTTCAAAATGAGTTGCTAGAGGAACCAAAAATAGAAGCTCTTCTACTACATACTAGACTCACAAAAATTCCTAACAGAGATTATCTGCATGCACTTAGCAGACTGAAGTCCAGATCCTGGAACATCAGTCCATTTTAACACACAGAAGTGTTTCTGTTGGGGGTGACCAGGGAAAGGTGAGGGGAGGGCTGACACGACTGTTTCTAGGTCATTTTCAACCTTGCTGTGATAACACACTTTTCTAGGTGGAAGATAATATGCTCATTAAAGTGAAAGTGTTCATTTTAAAATAAAGCAATAGAAACTCCAAATGTCTCTGTTACATAGATAATGAGCATACATAAATGGACTCAATTTTGGTTTTTCATGCTCTGTCATATTCTATATCAAGGCAAAGGAGTAGGCAAGTAAATAGCCGTTTAAAAATTAAACAGTGTGTTGTTCATTTAAATTTAAGAACTACTGATTAGAATAATAATCAGTGTTTCCATGTAGTACTGTATTCATAGGAATACTCATATTACAGTGGGTAGAGATAATAGAGTGATACTCTTTCTCTCTCCACATAATCTAACTTTTAAGATGCATCTTTATTCATAAAAGATGACAAAAGCAAGTGACATTATTCAGATGGGATATTTTAGACATTTAAATTCTTTCCATAAATTTCTGTTTCTTCTTCATTTTCTGCCCAAATTTGTTTTTATGAAATGACCTTTGATACCAACTTATTTTATAATAAAATGTTTCCTGAGTTTTTATTTTAAATTGAAATGGCCTTTTCTGTCAAATATGGTATTTATAAAAGTTTCTTTGATGAAAAGTCTTTGAATTTTCTGCAAATAACCCAGGCAGGCTCTTAGATTAGGGATAACATTTGTATAGGACTTTTATGGCTTTATATGATACTTTTGCACTCACTTTACTTGACCCTTACCTGTGAGTACTTGGTAGAATTCACATTTCCTGATAAGAGCAATGTAGAGGAAGGGGCCTTGCCCTGATTCTGGGTACATAGGCAGGCTTTCAATGTGTTCAGTTTAAAAGGAAATTAACAAAGGGAACCCAACAGGTTATTTAACTGGCTTGAGGTCACCTAGCAAAACAGTGTCACCCCAAGAATTGAACTTCTTTACTCAAACATTCCATATGTTATCATTGTCCAACTGTTATCTTTTCAGGCTTTTTAAAATGCCGAATTAAAAATATTCTTTTTTTCTTAATTGAGGTAAAATTCACATAACAAAAGTAACCATTTTAAAGCCTACATTTCATTGGCATTTAGTACATTCACAGTGTTGTGAAGCCGTCACCTCTACCTAGTTCAGAAATGTTTTCATCACCCCCAAATGAGACCACATGTCTATTCAGCAGTCACCCCGTTCCCTCCTCCCCCTGGTCACTGGTAACTGCCGATCTGTTTTCTGTCTCTGTAGATTTACCTACTCTTGATGTTTCATATAAATGGAATCATACAACATATGACTGTCTTTGCCTGTTTGACCTTCTATAACAGAATACCTTAGACTGGGGAGCCTGTAATGAAGGAAATTTATTTCTCCCAGTTCTGGAGGCTGGGAAGTCCAAGATCAAGGCTTGGGCAGATTTGGTGTCTGGGAAGAGCCTGTTTCCTGATTCTTCACAGTGATGGTTTCCTTCCCACCTGCGTCCTTATGTGGCCGAAGGGAGCTCTCTGGGATCTCTTTCATAAGGGTGCTAATCACCTTCCAAAGGCTCTACTTCCTAATACCATCACAGTGGGGGCTAGAATTTTTGAAGGCCATTAACATTCAGTCCATTACCGTGACCTTTGTGTCCGACTTTTTTCACTTAGTATAATGTTTTTGAAGTCAGTCTGTATTGTAGCAGGTATCAGGACTTATACTTTTTATGGCTGAATTTCACTTCATTATAGGGATAGGCCATATTTGGTTTATCTGTTCACCAGTTGATGGATATTGTGCTGCTTCTATTGTTTGGCTGTGTGAATAGTGCTGCTGTGAACATTTGTGTTCAAGTTTTTTTTTTTTTCACTTCTTTTGGGTATATACTTAGGAATGGAAATTTCAGGTTGTATGGTAATTCTATTTTTAACTTTTTGAGGAACCACCACACTGCTTTCTATAGTGATCGAACTATTTGACATTCCTACCAACAATGAGCAGGATTCCGATTTTCCCTTATCCTTACCAATGCTTGTTATTTGAGTTTTAAGAAAATTAAAAAAAATTATAACCATCCTAGTGGATATAAAATGGGATCTCCTTGTGGTTTTGATTTGCATTTCCCTGAAAAAAAAAAAAGCAGATTTTAATACATAGAATTGATCAGAAAGTGAGTTTTGGTAAATAAGGCAAAATCAACTTCAAAATGATGGGCTTTATCTGTCTTCAGAAGATTATTTAAGATCAACATATGCTCACCCCTACGGTACATGATTCTGGGCTGACAATAAAGAACATGCTGCTTTGGGAATAGAAGAATGTAGTATACAACAAGACCTCAATCATCCTTTAAATTAAAAAAATACTTTAAATTAATGAGGAAAAATAAGAAGTTATATCTTGTTTTCATGCCACTTGCCTCAAGATATGTAGTTCTTTACATTACAAAGCTTTCTTTTTATCATTTTCTCATGTCTTAATGGTCTATTCATTTATTTTTACAGCGTAAGTGAAGACATCCAGGATGGCTCAGGGATCTGGGGACCAAAGAGCAGTGGGAATTGCTGATGCAGAGGAGAGTTCTCCAAACATGATCGTCTACCGCAAAGTAAGGCTTCTGGTTAAACGCTAAGGATCCTGGTGGTGTGTGTGTGTGTGTGTGTGTGTGTGTGTGTGTGTGTGTGTGTGTGCGCGCGCTGTGTAGGGGTGACTGAATAGTTGACAGCTTGACAAATGTTTTCTGCCTAAACTGCCTTGACTGATAAATGAATATTGTTTTCTTCTCATATCTTCTGATTCTCCAATTCTAAAATTCAAGGAAGTTAAGTTTTGTCATACATGGTATTGAACACTTGAAAAATATTATGCGATTTAGTTTTCTTTAAACCTAAAGATTGCTTAAGCAATGCAGGTGGAGATGCATTCCTTTGATGTAGAGGCCTTAGTGTCACATTTATCAGTCAAATGTGTTTTGACCACAGGATGTACAAGACCGGGTCTAGATGCTCTAGGGGATTCAGAGGTATGTGTGTATTAGATACAGACATATGATGTAAAGGAACATAAGATGTAAACAAATAACTGTAATAGAGTTTGTTAATTTCCAAAAGAGAAGTAAAAGTAGAGTGTCATATAATCTTAGGCGAGGGGACAATTACTTCAGCCTCAGAGGACATGGGCAGCAGTCGTCTTTGAGCTCAGTTTTAAAGGATGGGTAGGATTGGTTTCTGTGGAAAGCCGGAAGGAAGAGCAGCATTCCAGGTGGTGAGATGCTTTCAGCAAAGGCAAAGAGTTGGAGAAAGTGAGCAGCAACCAGGACGAGCTATCTTGGACATAGGATGAATTACAAGAAATAAATGGAGGTAAGCTTTTGGGAAAAGAGTCTGGTTGGAGCCAGATTTTAGAATGCTGAATCATCGGCAATTTAATCATGAAAAACTTTTGTGCCAGGAGTTGTAAAATCAACACCTCCTTGGGAGAATAAGTCTTGCCTCAGTGTGCCAAATGCATTGTTAGGACATTGCATAGGGAGAGTGGAGGCCGTAGGGGGTACATTTCTGTATCTGTGAGAAAGGTAAGGAGGACATTAATCTAGCAGGGGAGGTAGACCTCAGAATTGAATGGGACTGAGCAGAGGAATTAAAGAATCTGAATTTAAAATGACTTGGAAACTAAATGAATATAGGATTAGGTGGTGAGTAGAGAATCAAAGGTGACCAGGTTTTTGACCTTGGGTTATTAAAGGACATTGGTGCTAGTCATTCAAATAGGCACATTTAGAATAATACATTTTAAAGGAAAGAAATACGACACATAAATTTTGTTCATGCACATGTTGCATTTGAGGAAATAACTGCTTCCCAATATATACCTTTTAAAAGTTGGCATGTTTGTGAAAATTTAACCTATACTGCCTATTAATAAGGAAAGTCAGTTAATATTCATTTATTTCACTAAATATTTGAATTGTCTGCTGGGTGCTATGTATTCTGAAAGACTGTGTTTGATCTCTGTTCATCATATGGGCAATATTGAACTAGATATTCATGGGTGCCCAGTATGGTGAATTTTCTCAAATAGAACTCAAGCTCATCTTGTTTTAGTATCAAATTCCTTAATCCTTTGCTTTGCAAGAGACTACTTAGATAACCCATCTCTAACAGAGATGCTTATTAAGTTATAGTAAAGGAAAAGTAGGTTAATGGGGCTAACCAATTAGTGAGTCATACGGAATACTAGAAAGATATTTATTCATCATTACCTTCTTAAACCCCCCAAACTGGGAGACCCTATGCCAGGTTTGTAGGAACATGGACTTCAGAGTCAGACTTGGGTTAAAGCTGCAACACTACCCAGTGGTATTACTTTGAGTCCGTTATTTAACTTTTGTGAGCTTTGGTTTCTCCATTTATAAAAGGAAAAAAAAAAGGTAGGGGGTAGGCTATACCTTGTGGGGTTATTGTGAAGATTCATTTAGGTAAAGTACATAAAGTGTCTTGCATCCTGCTTGGCATGGAGGTGGTCCATAATGAATGCTGCTTTTGCTTTTATGTTTAGGTCTTATAAAGGCATGACACTGAGAGAGGAAATAAATTATAAAATATGTAAATGTTAGTGCCATTAATAAATGGGCTAGTGTACATTCTTACAGTGAGTTGCCTTTTTAAGACCCAGGAAAACAGTTCAAATATTTTTGTATTACTCAGGAGACTGGAAATCAATGGATTATTGAAGGTTGATAGGAAATGTAAAAGTCATGCAAGTCAAACACCTTTCAATGAGAATGCTTGGTATTATGTTGAAAGGAAAAATTTAACAATTTTGTGGGAACTTGATTTTTACTTTTTAGGTGGTAAAAGGGAACTTATTTTTTTTTTGGTTTAATTTATAAACAAAGTTATAGATTGCTGTAGTTCTTTAGAAAGATAACCACTAATCATTGGTGTTTGTGCTATAAATATATCTTGCTTCCTGATGACAGATTTGTGTGTTGGGTATAGGTGTGTTCATGTCATTTGCAATATTAGTTAAATACTGTAAAAGGGACATGACATCTGTTCAATCTGTTAGAGAGAAAGAAGGGACACTTATTGCTCAGCATAGGTCCAAGACCTGGAATCATTTAAACCTAGTTAATTTGACTAACTTAAGCCATGGTTGTGTTTAAACAATAGGTCTCTACTCCTAGTGCTATAGATTGACTGTTGGCTTTGACCAAGACTTACCTACCTACTGCAGTACACTATCCTCAAGGTGTCCGTAAAGATCGAATCTTGTCACCAAGGTCAATTCAAAACATTTTCAATGGAAGTCCTCTGGTATAATGATTTTTTTCAAGGTTATAGCTATAAAACCAAACCTTTTCTTAGAGATCTACAACAAAAATTTATATTAAAAAGTGTGTGATTAGTGCTTTCATTTTTATTTTCTTTCTCTTGTTTGTTGTTCCTTGTGTCAGAACTTTTCATTGTGAAATTTTTGCTTGGACTGCGTTGTGTTGATTCAGATGCTGATATTTAAAAAGCCAAATCTAGAGAAATGGAGTTTTTGAGTGAGCTTCCCAGTAATAAGTGGGATGATTTTGTCTGTAATGGTGTTATGACTTTTATGTGCCATTTGGGATGGTAACCTTCCAGCGTATGAGTAATGATGGGTGGGTTTCTTAAGCCCACACTTTTCAGTATACTCTTCGTTTTCTTTTCATGTTTTCCATGTCATTAACTGTGAGAAGCTGTACTTTCCCAAGGTATGATTTATTTATTGAACTTGAACCGACTTTCTAATTTAGTTTTTCATCCCTCATATTCACATTTTGGATTGGAGGTGTGTATGAAAAATGTATTGGTCACATTAAGAATCTATTTAAAAGAGAACTTTAATTATTCATTAAGTCGCCAAGACCTGATAACTTTTTTTATACTCCTGGATTCAAAACATCCTGGGTCATTGAATTACCCAACATAGTGATGATATTTGAACCTAGCTGTACTTCAGATGATTTAGGAGTGCTTTATAAAAATGCTGATGCTCAAAGAATCCCTTCCAACCTGCAAGATGTTTTTATTTAAGAAGTCTGAACAGGGGTCCTAATAATCTGAGTTTTGGAATGTTCTCAGGAGAATCTGATGCCCAGCTAAATTTGAAATGCAGGTTTTTAGCATCTTTTACAATGGCCAGGTACATAATATGTGGCAAAAGAGTGGGGAAGTTGATGTTTTGAAGTGAGTTTTGACTTCCTAATTGTTTACACATCTCTCAAGATGTAGAAGAACCAGTTTCCTGTCATAGAATTAGAATTAAGGAATTTTAGTTCCTTCATCTCAGAAATTATCTAGTCAATATCCTCCTTATAGATAAGAAAACTAAGGTATGGAGAAGATACATAACTTGCGTAAAGCAAGTCACAATTTCCCAGTGAAACTGTGACTGTTTCCAGACAACCTGGCTGCCCAGCAGTGTCCCCTCTGCTGCCATGTTATCAGTCACAAACGGCCATTACCATATTGCTGGGGCTTACCAGACATTCGTTACATTAAATCAGTGAATATACTGTGTAGGAGACCATTGGTTTTCATGCTTATTCTTGGAGCTTTGAATAATGGTGACTTTGAACATTTGTAATGCCAAGCTTCATTCTGTTTGCTGGAGCATTGGTTGCAAAGAGCTACAAATTTCCAGCTGTACTGGTTATTTGATTTGATAGAACTCAGGACAATTAGATGGTAGGTGGACAGATAAAACTGTAGCTTATGTTGGCCCAGACTTGGGTCAGAGGCAATACAGTGTGGTAGAAATTGCCAAACGGGGACCAGAGAGCTCTGCATATCTGGCCCCGGCTCTCACACTTGCTGTTTTTGTTCTCTGGATAGGGAATTTCATTATCCTGGCTCTATTTCTTATTTCATCTTCTTCCTTTCCTCTTTCTTTTCCTCCTTCCTTCCCAATGATGAAATACTTCTGATACAAAAATAATAAATTTACAATGAAAAAGAATATATTCGTGTCCATGCAAATTAGCAAGATGCATGATACAATGAACCCCATGTACTCACCATCAGCTTCACGAGTACAGTATTACTTTGGCTTCATTTCCTCTTTTGTAAAGTGAGGGGAACGGGCTAGATAATGTACACATACCTTTCTGCAATGATTTCAAAGTTTCATTCTGTAACTTTTTGATCTCTCAGAGGTCATACACTTTCCTGATGTCAAAACAATGTTGTGAGACTATAGGCATGTTTAAGGATCTTCTGAACTTTTCTTGAAATATTTTAAACCAGTCCTACGTAACCTAATTGGACTGAGATAAAACCTAATGTAGTCAGGCATCAGACAAATAATTTTAATTGTAAATGATTTAACATTTACAAGTTAACTTGGTGGTGACCCGTTTCTTTGGCTCACTAATAACGTTTAAGACATTTGTACAGTTATCATTGTGTAGTCCTGATTGTGTGTCACACAGATAGCAAAAACAGTGTTTAAACAGCAGCACTGGAAATTATCGGTAATATGTAATGAGGATGAATTCTGTGTTTCAGAGAAAGGAGAAAGAGCCACTGTTATTGCATATCAAAGGAGTTGCTAAGTAGCCTTATGATTGTTGGC